ATCTATTTAATCACACATTCCAGCATCTAAGATGTTTTTTGCTTTCAATGACAAAATGATTTGTCTTTTGAGGATACAGAACGAATAAGAAAGAGAGCGAGTGACGAGGGTTTGCGAGGATAGCACCACAGCTGCTGTTTTGACTCGATGGATAGTGACTGTGACCTACTGATGCTGGATCCATTCACAGGGCCAGAACATGGGAATGACACACTGGTCTAGACAAAGACTAAATCGAATATCTCAGCCTAACCACTTCAGCGCATAAAGGGGGATGAGAGAGGGAAAGGAAAAGCAGTGGAGTTAAGGGAATGTAAAGGGTCATCAAATCTCTAAGGACTGTGTCGTTTTTAGGGCTTTTAGACACATTGCGATCTGACAGTGTCACACTGTGCCTGTCCTCTTCCTTGTTTTGGATGTAGGTTAAGCTTTCAAAATAAATCAACATGTATACTCAGCTCTTCTTGTTGAAAGAGCATGGCCTGTAAAGCGCTCGAAGTCAGCGTCAGTGTATCTGCAGCACCAACCAGAAACATTTTTATGGTTAATTCTAACAATGTCTGATAGCATGATTATCAAATTGCAATTGAAAGACTGTGTTGTAATTATATAAATCACCGGATTTTGGCAGGTGTGGCAAATGTTCGTTTTAGGCCCTGCTTGGCATAATAGCACCCAAATCATTTGGACCAATTGTGTGATACTTTTATGGATCGTCTTATGATCTTTGAAGCTTTACTCATTGCAGCTGCATGTTAAAGAGTGACCAGTTCAACTCTTTAAAATCCTACGTCTTTGTGTGTAAAGGAAGAACTGGTTTGGAACACGAGGGTTAGTAAATATTGACAGAATCTTCATTTTTGGGTCAACCAATCCTTTAGGATAGAGTGTGGTATATAAAGGTGCATGATGTTAGCTGTGGAGAATGGAAGCCTGTGTTCGGAATAGAATACTAGTGCATTTCATGCTGTCGTGATTTCTTTAACTGGTCATCTAGTAAATATGATTGACACTAGTGTCCTGGTGTTAAATATATATTGCTTGTTTAATTCAGCAAGTGGCGCTCAGTTATCATCTTAGAAATAAATTCTACAATTCTACAATCGAGATCAAGATGACCCCCTCCCTTAATTTTTTCACAATAGTTTTGATCACAGATGGCACAAAATATCATCTTGACACATTTGATGAGTTGCTATGCTCTTCTTTTTGTCATTTCATCTGAATATCAAAATTTATCATATTTAGTCAGTCAAAACAGCTTTGAGATTAATTGATCATCTCTGGAAAGTAGTTATCTGTGACAGTGTATTGTGTTTTATGTTTAATATCAACTTTTTTGGTGTCTTATTTGTTAATGAGTTATTTGTGGACACGTTGTTTTTAGATTTGTGTACTAAAAAGATATTATTTTTTATTTTGACATGAAAAGATAAAATTACATCCTTGGTGTAAGAAATAATCATTAAATGAATAATAATTTATTATTTTACATTAATGACACTATATATATATATATATACACACACACACACACACACACACACACACACACACACACACATTCTCTTACCCTAATGATCACGGTTTATACAACTTTGGATATATATTCCTCCCAGAAGGTTGTGGGATACAATATTTCAATACAGTATGCATATGCTGGAAGATATTGTAGGTTATGTGAGTATTCCACGTAGCCTATATACTTACTACATAAAGTATACTTAAAAATATACTTGAAGTATACTACTTTTTGGTAAGGGTATAGAGAACATTTGCATAATTTGAAGTATTTGCATTGTAAACATGACACTAGGGCTGCACGATATATCGAAATTATCGAAATATCGCAAATGTAAACATCGCAAGGGCGTGCGATATCTGAATCATTTTAATAATAGGCTACTTAAATCAAAACGTTGCAAAAGGTCAAAGTTTTAGTTCGACGCATATTTGTGACATTACTTTTTATGTAATGCTAAAACACTGCTGGTCACTTTCAGAAGTTGTAGGGATTCTTTATTTTCCAAGAAAGAATGTGAAACAAATTGGTTATATAATTTTCATTTTTAAATATTTTAAAATATAACTGAAATTGATTTTACACACTTTAAGCAATATCGTATCGCATATCGAATATCGCATTTTTAACAAGGTATCGCATATCGCATTTTTCTTCAATATCACACAGCCCTACATGACACATATGCAATAAAGTCATATGAAATCATAACATGCTTCTTTTGTTTCTTTGGTGAAATAAATAAACAGACTCACTTATCTTTACCTCGGAGAGAGTGTGTGTGTGTGTGTGTGTGTGTGGAAAGGATGGGTGTGGCAGGCTGACCATTCTATCATCTCTCTCTTGCATAATAACACCTGGCCCAGTGAGCATATGATTTCTCCTTTAGGCAGAGTTTGACCCTATAATTGGTGGTGAAGTGTGTCCACAGGTCTGCCACAAATGTGTCTTTGTGATAAGAACTGCTTCCTTCCTCCATGGCAATAGACAGGAAGTTACAGTGTTATAACCGTCTCTTTATACTGTACATTCACAAAGTGCAAAGGATGGGGAACTGGTGCTTTCCGTATGTGATATGTGGAGACATGATGGGAAGTTTTTGAGGTCTCTTTTACCAAGGCTTTTCTGAGTCACTAGTTTTGATTTAGTGCTGCATTAATTCCGGTAAAAAAAATATATATATATATATATATATATATATATTTAAACAAATATTTTGATTGGGTTTTTAACTGTGATCAGGGCAGGTGATAAATTGATTATAAATACTTTCCTTGTCCTGTTTATTTTTTTGTTTTTCGTTTTTTTGTGATCATGATAGTGATATACTGTATAAAAATTATTATACAGACGTTAAGTTTGCATTAGTAAGTTTGCATTTTCATCATTAAAATAAATGTAGGTAAAGATTGTTTATTATTACATATAAATTATGATTTAGTAAAAAACAATGTGGAAAACATTTTTTTGTGTGTCTTGAATAAAAACAATCACAAGCAAATATAGTAACAATTTAGATTAGGGAACACAGTTTCTCCCTTAACTAATAGTTCTCTTTGCATTCACATTGTACTTGGACCTGAAAGTGGACTCAGATCTCTTGTTTGTACATTTTTATTTCAATTTCAATTCAATTTCAATTTTCAATTCAATTTCAAAGTTCATCCATTCACCCAAAACCTTGTTTCTTCAAAAAGTTTGTAAAGAGATTGTAAAAGAAATCCATATAAATTGAGCGGTTTAATTTTTCTTCTGAAGAGACACAATCCCTTTATATGATGAACAGATTTAATTTAGGCTTATATTCACATAAACTTTGATCAATGCGCATACGTAAAGCACACAAAAGATGTGCACATTAGGCACTGTTGAAGGCTGTGTCAATGTGAAGGGTCCTTGGAATGCAGCCTTCGCTTCACGTTCTTTATTCAGCGTATTTTCAAGTCATCAAGCGGATCCTTCACATTCTCTAATCACGAATCATTCCGGTTCACAAAAAAAGATTTGGAGTTTGAGCTTCTGCAGGAACCAATGAGGTTTGTTCATGGTCAGTTTGAAATATAGAATGAGATTTTCATTGGTCATTGGATGCCTACATCACTGCACTTGCCGCTAGGGCGTTGCTATGTGGTTACTAGGGTATTCTAGGTGATTGCAGGGTTAGCGTTTTTACAGTGTTATATATGGGCAATATTACACGAGCAGGAGTGCGATATGGCTCTATATGCGATTCAGGGGGCCCCATCTGATATTGGCGAAACATATCTGGCAAACGCTCTAGTGTGTTTTTGTGTTCTGGAGAGCGTCAAATGTTCAGTCAATGCTCAAAACGCCGGGTTTTTGTCCAGTGCTGAGTTCTGCAAGCTCGCGAATCCTCTCATTATAACAACGTGTAGATACGATGTAAATAAGAGATTGATTGTGCGGTGCAGAGAGATGCATTGATTAACGGGACGTCGTGAGATCGCGATGAACTGAAGTGCTTTTAGACAGTTTTTGGTCAATTTCTAGGCTGTATAATCCCATCTGACTGTCAGAATAAATATATATTAACCTCAGAGAAAGAAAGTTTCGCGTTTCGTGTCATGATTTTATACACCGGCGCGAACTGCTGCACACTCATACAAAAGCACAAATTTTTGCTAGAGATTTTCACTTAATAATAGATTACATTTTCTCGGCAAACCCCTTAAGAACACTTGGAATACGGAACGAGTTGCATGGGATAAATTTATGACATTTGAATCCTTTTTGTAAAAATATCGAAGTAGGTTACAATTCATTAAATGGACAAGTGCAAGCATTTATATATATATATATATATATATATATATAAATGCTTGCACTTGTCCATTTAATGAATTGTAACCTTCTTCAATCTTTTTACAAAAATGATTCTATCGAAGCAGGTTACAATTCATTAAATGGACAAGTGCAAGCATTTATATATATATATATATATATATATATATAATGTCTTCTTTTATGAGCCGAAAAAAAATAGGCATAATGTGGCTTTAGAACAGCATCAGGTTGACTAAGTATTTATTTCAGTTGTGAAGAGGTAAATAAAGCGAGCAAAATAAGGGTCAGGCGTAGAAGAGCACATAGTTATTGTGTTGGGACCCCATACCTGAAATTTGCTTGGGGCCCCTGCACAGACTAAGGGCCTGTTTAGAATGCAGAGTGATACAAACGGTGAAAAATCCCAGTGCTGTTACTGGTGGAATATCAGCATTCTTGGAAGCCTTTCGTCCAATCGGATTCAATGTTGTATAAAATGAACTACTGTTTCTAGGCCGTATCTCTGCTTCGCTTTTGTGCATTCCTGTTTTTGTGCAATCACTTGTTGCTTGGTGATTGTATATAAATGTGACTTTATTAGTCAGAAAAAGGGTAAATCTCCCATGTTGAGCAACTTGTCTTAAAGAAAAAAAAAACCACATGCAATAGTTGTTCTCTCTGATTCTTTTTGCAGGGCGACTTTGAAGATTCTGCATGAGGTTAGATTGTGGCCAGACCGAAATGAAATGAGTGGCTAACGACTGACCTCTTCCACTGCACCACCACCACCAGCAACCTGTAGCATCTAACCAGTGCCTCTTCACCAGCCTGATACACAAACACACCCACATACACAGAACACCATCAGACTGTAAGTTTGCCCCGCTTCAATTTCTCATCTTTTGTACAAACATTTCTCTCTGGTTGATTAATGCATAATACCAGGCTGTTGCCGTGCTTGTTTAACACTAGAACCGGCAGAGGTCGCTGTATACCTAAAAGCGCCAGCGGGTAAATTTTACCCATGCACATGACAACTGTATTTATATGGCTAAAGAACATATTATTTCACTGTATTATGCCACTGTCTTCACAAAGAAGTGTCTAGAGTCATGAAATGATTATGTCTAGTCATCAACTATATTTTTATCCTGTTGTTTTATGTTCAAGACTTTTTAATGCAGGCTACACTAATCCACAACGGTCAGTAGCCTAAGCTAAAAAAAAAGTCTGCACTGACAACGGAGCCTAAATATTTGGGTGGTGTAATATTATAATACAATGTAATTAATCAATATATTAAGATAACCCATGCTATTTAAATTACTAAAATAGCCTATAGACAATAATGAGCAATAATAACTCACCACACTGCATAGGATGATGCGATGATAAATTCAAGCGCACAGCTTCACCTAAATATTTATTAATTTGTTTAGTTATATCATTTATAATTTGAATAAGAGAACAACACCATTAAACTTTGGGTAATCAAAAAATGGTTTTATTCATTACATCATATAGATCGGATTTTCTTCTTCTTCAGGAAACGGCCAGACTAGAATAGCAACACAGTAGCGAACAATAAACGATA